CAAGCGGATGGCGCGCTTGAAGAGCGAGCCGGCACTGTTCATATGTGCCTCGTGCTCTCGGGCCTGGTCGGTTGGCTCTTGATGCTGCAATGCGAGGCGCGTAACTCGCAGCACTGCCCTGATGGCACTGCCGTCGGATCGCTTGGTGAGCTGATATCCGAGCTGCTGGTCGGTCGGAAACCAAAAGAGAGGCAGCTGGCTACGCTGATCGTCGGCAACGAATTCGTAACTTATTTCCTCTTCTAGTGACTCCTTGAGGCCTACTAGGTCTAACAAAAGGCAGCACTCTGACGGGAGCTTGGAGTAACCGTCTTTGTGCATCGTATCGCACAGGCTAGCGCAATCTGTGACCTGAGCAAGCGGCAGCAAACTCGGGGGAATATCTTCCAGATCTGGAATCCCAAGCGAAGCGAAAGACCAGCGTGTGATCTGAGCACAGCCGAATGCGCCCACTGCTGACATCGTCTCAGCTGCCAAAGTAGATCTGCAAACCCTCTCGATGCTGCCTGATCGCCAATCAACCATTCCCGCTCGCGCCTCGTCGCCGCACAACAGCTTGGCCTCGGCGATGAACGTCGCGTAGCCGGCCTGCGAGCGGATTTTGATATCATTGTCCTTGCTGCCCACTACCTTGGTGAGTAGCGTAGCTATGACACCTTCAGGTGGCTCGTCAGCATTGGCCCAGCTGGCGTCGCGGTAAGTGACCAGGCAAAGTGGTCCACGTAGCTCCGGGAATTCCAGTCCCACGCCCGCGTGCTTCTGCGCCAGCTTGATGAGCCGATTCGTCTCGAGCAGGTCCTGGATGGTGGGCTTGTTCTGGGTGCGCTGTCCCATGGTCACTCCAGCTGACAGGTCTGGTCAAGTCTGCGATGAGAGCCATCCAAGCGCTCCGAGGGCGGAGCGGTTGTCCGAAAACTCGGCTGGCGTCGCCTCCGCCGATAGCTCAGTCTTGCGCTCCTTGCTAAGCGCGATCTCCTCGATCGTGTTCGCGTACTCTGTCTGGCGTAGGTGTAGGACACCCTCCTCATCGCGCCACGCCTGCTTGCAAGAAAAGGTGAAGGCAAACCCCTCCAGTCGCCCCACGGCAGGAGCTTGTCGAGCCGGTCGTACAGGGTCGGGCACTTGGGCGAGACGCCCAGCAGCAGGTCGTCCACGCGGGCGACCACCACCGCGCACAGCTCCCCATGCTTGTCGCAGCCGTAGTACAGCGCTGGATCCAGCGAATGCTGGCGAAGTCGGAACACGTAGTCACCCAGCTTCTCCTCCACCGTAAGCAAGGCCCGATTGAGCTTAGCCCTCGACTGTCGCGGTGCGGTGGCTAGCCCGAAGACTCCCTTGAGGATCTTGCTCAACTGCTTCGGGTGCAACCCAGGGAAGCCCTCGCGGGGCTGAGCCATGTACAACTGCTGGTCGGGCTGCTCGTCGCCTTGCATGAAAGCCGCCTCCACGTCCGCTGCGTAAATCTCCAGGTCGAACCTCTGGCAGACGGTGAAGAACAGCATAGTCGAGTTGCGGGCGACCGTAGGCGCGTCCGTGCACAGGTCGCCCTGAGCGAGACGCGGGTCCATGTTACCCCCGACGCAGAGTCGGGCCTTGGCCTTGACCGGCAGCGGGTGCTTGTCAGTCCGACGCGGCGCTTTCTTATCCCGGTACACAAACCGGCTGGGCAAGACGAGGTTGGCCTTGACCCTGCCCCTGACCGCCTCGGACTCCTCGATGGTGAGCACCTGACAGGATCCGTACTTCTGCCACTCGCTCCACTGCTTGGCCGCCGCCTCTCGGTAGAGCTCCCTGTCGGAGTCCTTGATGGCCCTCCAGTGGATCTCCCTGTCGGCTTGCTTGCGCTTGATGCTCTCGGTGGCGATGGAGGTCTGCATCGCTTCTATAGGAGCCGACCTCGAACGCTCTCTAGCGAACTCCTACTCGGATCCGGCCGCTGCTCCGCCGCCGGGCACGGCCGCCCGATCGCGCGAGGCTGTCCTCGGGGGCGGTCCTCCGGAGCCCACGTGCTCCTTGGCGGTCTGCAGGCGCTTGAAGGCCGGGCCGAAGTCGCCGCTGTCCGCCCCGTCGAAGGTCGCTCGCCGTCGTCGGAACCCGACGGGACCGCAGGGCTGCTCCTCCGAGGCTGACTGAGGCATGTCGGCTCGGTCGGCGGGCAGCACCTCGATCTGCTGCTGGGAGTTCGGGTCCTCAGGAAAGTTCAGCCTCATGTCGTCGTCGTCTGGGCTGTCGATGAACTCCCGCCACGCCTGCTCCATCTCGTCTGGCTGGACCTGGGGCTGGCCCGGCTCGGGGCGGATGTCCTCCACCGGGACCTCCTCCTGCTCGAGTGAGTCGCGAGCCCCGTTGAGCTCGGCCACGGCCTGGCCGATCTCGCCCCGACCGTTCGGGAACCAGACGTTGTCCGGAGCGACCGCCTTGATGTGCTCCGGGGCCACCAGCATGGCGCGCCCCCACAGCGAGACCCAGGCGTTGTTGCCCTGGTGACCGATGACCACGCACGGCCCCCGCCAGATGCCCTTCTTGGCGTTGCGGTTGTGCTGCTCCTTCTGCTCTTTCTTCTTGACTTGGCGGAAAATGTAGCACATCTCGCCCACTGACAAAGGCGTGGCCACGGTGCGCGCGGGAGCCAGCATAGCTCGTCTGAGCTGGTCGTCGTTCTGCATCCGCATGAACGACTCGCGCGCCGCCGTCCGAACAGCAGATCGGCGACGACTCCTCTCGTCATTGGTGGCGAGACTGTGGGCACTGTAGTTGGCCGCGTCGTCCATCAGGTCGGCGGGCATCTTGGGATCGCGCCCCAGCACCCACTGTGCGGGGCTGAAGCCAGCCCGCCTCCTCAGCGAGTTCTTGGCGCCAGACACCATGATGCCTAGCGTCCGCATCTCGCGCTCGCCCCTGATCGACGAGTGCTCGATCGTCCTTGCAGCGAGCTCCCTCCACCAGGGTCCCTGACGTTCCACTCGACCGAGCTGCCAGTGGGCCTGTCCCGCGATAGGTAGCTGCACCGTGTCGAAAGACTGGAACAGCTCGCTGAGAACGCCACCGAACTCCCTCTCCATGTTTAAATGGACTCTGTCCGGGACGCCGGCCCAGGAGGCCCAGCACCTCTCGAAGGCCATAGCGAACTCCTGGCTGGTGTGGCGACCGATCAGCGTCGCGACGTGGAAGGTAGCGGCCGAGTCGACGATACTGAAGTACCAGTAGCTCTTGCCGTCGACGCCCCCGAGCTCGAAGCAATCGAACCCACGTCGTCGCCGAAATCTTGCACGAAGTGGAGGCGCGCTGGACTCCTCGCGCTCGGGCGCTGCTGCGAGCGGCACACTCCGCAGATCAGCCCCTTGACGGCCTGCACGACGGCCGACTGAGCGCCCTTGAGTCGCAGACTGTGGCCCAAGTCTCCATCAGACGGATGGCCCCAATTGACGTGGAGTCTCTTGAGCATGGCCAACTCGGCCGGCTTGCAGCAGGCTGCTGCTTTCTTGGTGAAAGTGACCGCGCCGACCCCGATCCTGCCGTCCACAGTCTCGTCGGCCTCCACGTCGCGAGCGTCGGCGAAGTCGTCTCCGCCGCCCATGGTGTCTGGGTCCCCAATAGGCTCGCCCGTCTCTCCCAGGGGCGCGGCGTCGTTCACGCAGACGGCGGCCTGCCCCTTCAACTCCGTCGCGATGAAGGCCGACGAGGAAGCGCCGCAGTCCACCTGGCAGGCGCGAGGCCCACCCTGCCGGCGAATGATCTGCTCGACGACGCGCGCCTCCGCTCGGCAGAACTTGGCTGGATAGACGCCAGACTTCCGCACCGCCACGTTGTCCCCGAACGTCTGGTCGTGGCGTGTGCGGCTGCAGGCACAGCGTAGCCGCTCGAACTCCTTGCGGGTGACGAGCAGCCTGGCGGGGTGCTCCCCGCCTTGCGGTGTCGAGCCCCGTATTCGCACAGATCGCACCTCACCTGGTACACGCGCTCGTCGGCAAGTAGCTCCATCATGATGCGCTGTGTCCAGATCCGGCTGGTGGCCGGGCTCTCGATCATGGCGGCGCCGCCTGAATCGAGCTGAGACCTGAAGAGGCCGCGGGCCAGGAAAAGGAATGGCCGCTCCGCGCGCCACAGTCGCCGCAGTGCCTGCTTGCCCTGCGGCGCGTGGAAGTTGAGGTGCGCAACGTTCGCGCAGTAGGTGCAGGGTAGCTCGATCGACGCGAACTTAGGCCTCGATGCGTAGCACCGCTCGTACGTCATCTCGAGGTCCTTCTGCTTGCGGAGGCCCCAGCCGCACTTACAGTTGAACACCTCCGTGGCTGTCATGTTGCGGCGCACTGCCGCCTCGGAATACCGCCTTCGCCTCCGAACACCTGCATGACGTCCACGCCGTGGCTCCGGACGGTGCAGATCTCCTTGACGTTCCTCATGTGGTCCGCCACGCCCTGCGCGGCGCTCGTCGCATACTGAGCAAACGGCTTGAGAGGTTGGGACAGCCAGTCCGCCGCGAGCACGGCCTGAAACGCAAAGGCGCTCAGCAAGCCCGTGACCTGGTAGAGTAGGTCGACGCGTTTGCCCTTCTTGATGTCTGGCCGCCGGCCCGAGGCCGGCGGCTGGCCCTGGCGGCTGCCGCCACCTAGGCCTTGTCGTGCGGAGACGCCACATCCATCTCCTGGTCGGTCTCGCCCGCCTTCTGGAAGCCGTGGTCGCCGGTGTCCATCTCGCGCTCCTCGACCGGCCTCGGGCGGCGGTGACCCGCCCAACTGCCTTGACAAGCTGAGGCCCGCTGGATCGTCGCCACCGGCGTCACCGACTCGTCGCCCAGGACCACCTCCTCGGCCATCACCGCCTCGATGGCAGTCTCGAGCTCTTCTGGCTCGAGCGGCCTCACCCCGCGAGCCTGGACCCGCCTGCCGAAGCGCGCCAGGAGCGGGCTCGCTCGGCCGGCGCCCAGCCCCAGCACCGCCCAACGCGCGTAACCCAAGTCGTCCTTAAGCACCCAGCGGTAATCCGCGGTTGGGTACTTGCCGAAGCGCATCTTGTCGTTCTCCGTGATCTGCTAGCTTGGATGGGCCACGTTGCTCGTGGCGCCGCGCGCAGGATGACGCGGAGCTGGTCGCGCGTCGCGTCGCGCACATCCAACTCGTAGCTTGCCACCTCCGCCTGTAGGCCCCCCATCCGCATGATGTAGATCGCTGGCAGGCGGGAAAAACTCGGCGTCGGCGCGTTCGAGCAGCTGGCCTCCGGGATCGTCGCCCTGGGAGATGTCACGCATTTCCGCTGCGACGGGGGCGTGAACTCCGGCCGCTGGTTCGTGAAAAGCTGCGGTGGCTGGATCTGCCACGGCGCGCGTCGTAAAAGCTGTTGGAGCCTGAGATGAACTCGAGCCGGATGGCTGCGGTGATGATGCCGTTTGACGACTCCGTGCTGATGGCTGATCTCGTAGCTCACTACCGCTTGCCTGCTGCTGAAATCGGACACGATGTGGCCGAGACTCGCTGTCTGGTTTAGCTCCTCGTCCTGTGCGATCGGGTTGCATGATCTATGCTGCGCTGGCGGACGTAGGAATAACTCCCCATGCCTCATCCTCCGACCCCGATAGTGACTGACGCGATGGAATGCATGCGCGCATGGCCTGGCGCACCTGCTGCTCGAACAGTTCAGCGCCGTCGAGCTCGTCACAGTCAGTCTCCGACTGAGGCTCGTCGGCCTCCGAGGCGACCCGTTGGCCACAGCGCTCGGGCGCTACCGGCTTGGCGGCGCTGGCCACGGCTGTCTCAGCGTGGCAAGTCGAAAAACGATGCAGCCGGATCTCGGTCTTGGCGTCCGAGACGTCCGACACTGGCTTGTAGCTCGGCGCGAAGCCTGTGATCTCGAGCGTCGGGTGTCCAGCGCGGCTCAAGCCCATCTGGGCGCCGTGCTCGTTGACGGATTTGATGCCAAGCTCGTTGCCCCCTGCGCGGTAGACAACGCCCAGCTCGCTCTGGGCCTGGCGGCTGAACAGTCCAGGCACGGCGCTGCGCACGATGCTCATGCGCACGGCGAAGGCCTTGCCATTCACCGAGCAGGGAATCAGCGCGGCCTTGAGGCTGCACACCACCTTGGACGCTCCGAAGCGGAACAGCTCCTCTGGGCACTCGATCGGCTGGACGTTGAAGGCCGCCAGCTTCTCGTTGATGTCGTTGCACCAGTCCAGGCCGCCGACGCACCGCGAGCAGGCAGCGTCGAAGGTCAGCCTGCCGCCCGACTCCTTGAGTAGGTCTTCGACGCTGATGTAGATGAGCGCCGAACCCGTCGCGGCCACGTGGCACTGGTTGTCCTTGTTGATGTAGAACGAGGCTGCCGTCACCTCTGGTACGTTGCGCAACGCGTTGCCGAAGGTGACCGATCTCGCGACGCTCTCGGCTGCTCACGCCGGTAGGCCGCCGCGACCGTCATCTCCGCGACGTGGGGCTCCTGCGCGTCGCCGGCCCCGTCGTTCGTAGTCATGTTCGTATTGTGACGTCCCTTTCACGGAATGTGGGCCCTCGCATTGGGGTCATTCTTCTTGGAGCACTGCGGGTCGCCGCGCCAGTAGCCCTCCTGGCCACACGCTCCACAGTGCGTCCTCGCCTTCATCTTGGCGACCTTGGAATCGCCCTTCTTCGGCGGATGTCCGCCGTCTCGCTTGGCGAAGTAGCCGCGCGACTGCTCGACCCCCTTCAGCGTGTCTTTGGCGCGCACCAATTTCTTGGTGAAGAAAGCCACCTGCTCCTCCGCCTCGTCTATCACGTCCTGCAGCTCGTCCGGCAAGTCGTCGTCGTAGCCCTCGGAGCTGTCGGTGGACGCGCCGTCGTTCTCGGCCTCGTCATAGGCCTCCGTGGCGCACACCTTCTTGTGGTCCTTCTTGTGACCTCCGTAGCCGCCTTGGTCGTGGCGGTGCTCTTTGCTGCCGTCCACGACCGATACTTTGGTTAAATTGATCATGAGCTGCTCCTGGATCTTCGTCGGATTGAACGCGTTGCCCACGCCGTTAAGCACGCTCGCCTTGCGCTCCAGTGGCAAGCGGGCGCCCTTGATGCACAGGTCGGCCATGACCTCGTCGGGCACCTGTATGTCCTTAGCTCTCAGTTTCGTCGCCATGCTGTTGCAGCGATCGCTGAAATCGCGGATCTCCTCAAACTTGTGCCGGATGCATGCCGGCTTCACGAACGTCTCCAGGAGCGCCGGTAACTCCAATACTTCGATATCGGGAAAGCGCTTCCCGAGGTACTCCAAGAAGACCTCCACCGAGCCGTCGGCCCTGACGGTCCCTACCTCGCACGCCTCCTCGGCCTTGCCCTTGAGGCTGGCAAAGGAGCGTCGCGCCCTGCCTGGGCAGCTTGACCTCCGTGCCAATCTGCCAGGTGGCGACTTCTCGGCTGAACTTCTTCATCGTCTTGCTCGAGCCGTCAAAGACGGACACGGGAATCTTGCCCCCGCTGTTTTTGTCCTCGCCGCTGGCTGCAGCGGCCCTTCCAGTAGTCGCCATGGCGGCAACTCCGAATGAGAGGTGTCAATCACCGTCAACTACGAATGAGAGGTGTCAAACACCGTCAACTCCAAATAAGAGGTGTCAGTCGCAACCACGAGCTTGTAGTGTGCCTATCTGGAGTCTGCGAAGTCGCGCACGTTGCCGTGGTCGAGTTAACTCCTGCTACCAATGTAGAACCAATACTGCAAAGCGGGGTCGTAGTGCAATAATAACCGCGAGGTTGTATGTCAGCAAAGATACACCAATGATATCAATGTTATCCGCAATGGATGGCGAAAGATGGTTGTTTAGCGGACCCCGCGATGGCCCCTACCGATACGCCCAAGCTCTAGGGCCCTAGAGCCCACATGGATACGAAAGGACATGTCACCTCTCGCCTGAATATTAGCACACTCTGCTTGCTTGCTGGCATGCTATGCTACACTGTTTACAGATCAGCACGGACACTATATATTTCACAGAGGAGCAGGACGACGACGACGAGGAATGGCACGGGGAAAGGAAAGAGGAGGAGAGGAGGACGAGGGGAAGGAGAAGGACTTAGGAATGAGGAGTGCCACTCTCCACCACCACAGCCTGGCTGGAATAGGGCGGTGGTGGCGTAGGATTTAGAATGGTTTTGGTGGACGTGGTGGTGGCTGTAGTATTCGTACTAGCAGTCCACTCGTAGAAGCATAGTGGGGAATAGTAGGGGTAACGCACGTGGTAATAGAAGCCGCGTGTTGATGCCAGCCCTCCTGCGTTGGATACTCGCTTTGTTTCGAACACTGCGCGCGCGCGTCTCCTCCTTCCCGCCTCCCTCCTCCTCTCATATGTCCGAACTGCCTCTTACCTCGATCCCTCCTGCGTGCCAGTTTGCCTCCTACCTCGTGATTCATACTAGACCTCGCCATCCCTGGGGGGGCTGCGATCTGCGAAACTGTCGCAGCGTTCGAAGGTTGCTAGAGGGTCCAGCGGAGTGGGGCACCACCCAGGTTCTGATTAGACCTCGCCATCCCTGGGAAGGTGCGATCTGCGGAACTATCGTCACTTTCGAGGGCAGCTGGGGATCCAGCGGAGCGAGGCACTACCCAGATCCAGATTAGACCTCGCTATTCCTGCGGGGGTGGGATCTGCGAAAGTGTCGCCACTTTCGACGGCGGCTGGGGGGTGCTGGACCCCCCAGCAGCCCTCGAAAGTGGCGACAGTTTCACAGATCGCAGCCCCCCAGGGATGGCGAGATCGAATTTGAATCCGCGTAGAACGTCACTGTCCTGGACCCCCAGCAGCCCTCGAAAGTGGCGATAGTTTCACATATCGCAGCCTCCCAAGGATGGCGAGGTCGAATTTGAATCCGCGTAGGACGTCACCGTGCTGGACCCCCTAGCAGCCCTCGAAAGTGGCGACAGTTTCACTGATCGCAGCCCCCCCCGAGGCAAGACAGGAGGCAGCAGGAGGGAGGCGGGAAGGAGAGAAGGAAGGACGGCGACCACAGTGCCCTATTCAAAACGAATACCCAACAAAGCAGGGTCGGGAGAAAACTATTCAAAACTATATATATATATATCTGTATATATATATATATATTCATGCGTACCTATACGACCACCCTTCGGGTGATAAGGAGGTTCGGGGGGGGAGGAACCAACGTCTCACTCGATCGGTCTCACTATCGATCTCACTATCGATCTCAGTATCGGTCTCGCTCGATCGATCTCCCTCGATCGATCTCACAATCGATCTCACAGTCGATCTCACTCGATCTCACTCGATCTATCTCACACTCGATCTCACTCGATCATCATCATCATCATCATCATCATCATCATCATCATCATCATCATCATCATCATCATCATCATCATCATCATCATCATCATCATCATCATCATCATCATCATCATCATCATCATCATCATCATCATCATCATCATCATCATCATCATCATCATCATCATCATCATCATCATCATCATCATCATCATCATCATCATCATCATCATCATCATCATCATCATCATCATCATCATCATCATCATCATCATCATCATCATCATCATCATCATCATCATCATCATCATCATCATCATATCATCATCATCATCATCATCATCATCATCATCATCATCATCATCACATCATCATCATCATCATCATCATCATCATCATCATCATCATCATCATCATCATCATCATCATCATCATCATCATCATCATCATCATCATCATCATCATCAGCATCATCATCATCATCATCATCATCATCATCATCATCATCATCATCATCATCATCATCATCATCATCATCATCATCATCATCATCATCATCATCGGGCGGGACACCGGCGGGACACCGCGGGGCACCGCGGGACACCGCGGGACACCGCGGGACACCGGCGGGACACCGCGGGCCACCGGCCGCCCGGAAGGGAGACATTTGGTCCGGCCGCGCCTCAGCCACACGGAACACCAGCGGGACACCGGCGGGACACCGCGGGCCACCGGCCGCCCGGAAGGGAGACATTTGGTCCGGCCGCGCCTCAGCCACAGGAGACTTTCTTCTCGCCCGCCCACGCAGCTTCGCCTCGCCCGCACGCACGGCACGCACGAACACGAAACCGAAATCGATTTCCCGGTAGGGGGGCTCTCCGTTCCACTTCGATCTCACCCCCTCACCTCCGACACACACACACATACATACATATGTATACATGCACGCATCATACAGAACATATATATATATATATAACACTAGAACCATCGCGCGCGCTTCGCGCGCGCTGAGGTCCTAGCCCAGGCCGAGGGGGCGCTGGACGATCTTGGACAACGCTATCAAGCACAGGCGCGCGACGGCATCTGAGGAGCTTCTGGGGTGTTCCGCATGCTTCGTCAACTGGCTGTTGGAGGCACCTCTTGGGTGCTTCTTGGGAGGGCGTCTGGGGGTCCCTTGGGGGCATCGGTTCTGCAATCTGAAGCCGTCATTGGCCGCCTTGGCTGCGTGGAGGCCCGACTTGAGGCCACCTGCGGCCAGATTGGGGCAATCCGGAAGCCTCCCAGGGGCGTCCTGGAAGCAGTTTTGACGCATCGAGGGCACTCTTGGGCTATTTTGAAGCCTCGTGGACGTCTCCTAGGGGCCTTTTCGGCCCTCGGGAAGCTTTTGGGGTCCTCGTCGGACCACTTGGGGGCCTCTTGCAGCCTCCTGTGGGCCTTGTGGGGGGACCGCTCTGCTGTTGGGTCGCGTTCCCCTTCTTGGGCCTCTCTTGGGGCTCTTGGGGCCCTCTCGGGCCATCTTGGGCGCCTCAAGCACCCTCTTGGGGCCCTCGCGGGCCGTCTTGGGGCCCTCTTGGAGGCCTCTTCCTCTATGTGGGAGCGGTATTGGAAGCCTCTTGGGCCGTCTTGGAGCATCGGGATGCCAAAAGGCATAAAAAATTAAAACCCGTCAAAGCCCAATCGTAAAACAATGAGTTGTGCCTCTTGGGGCCACCTTGGGAGATCTCTTGGAACCTCGTCGGCCCTCTTGGGAGCTTCTTGGGAGCCTCTTGGATCCGATTGAGGGCCTCTTGGGACTTCCCGAGAACCTCTCGGGATAGAAAGCTCGGATTATCGGTTCGTCGTTCCCTTCTTGGGCATCTCTTGGGGCCGTCTTGGGGCCCTCTAGGGCCGTCTTGGGCGCCTCAGGCACCGCCTTGGGGCCCTCGTGGGCCGCCCAGGGCCCTCTTGGAAGCCTCTTCGGCTATCTTGGAGCTGTCTGGGAGGCCTCCTCCTCCTCGTCCCCCTCCTCCTCCTCCCACTCCAGCTCTCTCTCCTCCTGATCTTCCTCCTCCTCCTGCAGCGTGTTCCGGAAGGCTTCCGCCAGAACATGCTGTGCACAAGTGCTGTCACTGCTCCCGCCACCGTGCTCTGGGTGGTGGGTCAGAGGCCTCATGGGCGTTGGTTTGGATCTCGTGGTTGGCCTGTCGGGGACGTCGTGAAGGCAGTTTCGCAGCTTCTCGGTAGCCGTTTTGGGACCGTTGTGGAGCCTCCTCGGGGCTGTTTTGTGACCTCTTTCGGCCTCGTTTGGGCCTCCTGGGTGCCTTTTGGGGGCCTCCTGGGGCCTTTGGGGGCTCCTCGGGGCCTCCTGGGGCACTCTTCAAGCGGGAGGGTTGAATTTTGGAGTCGTGGTCCCCCTCTTGGGCGCATCTTGGGACCGTCTTGGGGCTCTGTTGAACTGTCTTGGGCGACTCTGGGGCCGTCTTGGGGCCCTCTTGGGCCGTCTTGATGCGCTCTTGGGGGCCTATTCAGCCGTCTTGGAACGTCGGACAGCCGAAAAGGCTGGAAGGCCAAAATCGTTCGAAAACCTTAAAACAATTGACGATTTCGGCCTCTTGAAGCGCTCTGGAGAGGCGTCTTAAAGCGTCGTGGAGTGCCTTGGGGGGCCTCTCGGGCCGCCTTGGGTCTATCTTGGGCGTCCTGGAGCGGGCTTTCGGCGACTCGGGGCCCGCTAGGGCCGTCTTGGGAGCCTCTGGAGGCCCTCCTGGACTATTTTGGACCTCCCTGGCCGCCCCGTCCTCCCATGAGGGATCGGAGGCGGCGGCCTCCGAGGCCCAGGAGGCGGAAACCCTTTAGAAACAAAGGGAAAATGAGCCCCGGTACCCCCATGGAGGCTTTTCGGCGCTCTTGGACCGGTGCCAGCTCGAAAACGCGAGAAACCAAAAACATTGAAAATACCATTGAACATATATGACTTTGGCCTCTCCGGGCCGTACAGTGATACCTATCAGACTTCTTGGGGTCTCTTGGAGGCCACCTGGGAGCCTCGAGAGCCGTCGGTAGGCTGACTTGGGCTGCTCATGAGCATCTTGGGCCATCCTTTGGCA